TCGAGACAGACCTGGCATATGCGCTGAAAGTCAGAGAATGTCCTCAGCTGTTGTTTCTTAAAGGAAATAAGATTTTGTATAGGGAGAAAGGTATAAACTGTTCAATGAAGGTTAAAAAGAAAATTTCTCATTAATTCCAAATTAGGTTTTGTTTTGAGATCTGATCAATCACAAGTATGCTATGTTTGCAGAGTTCAGAACAGCAGATGAGCTGGTGCATATGATTGCACATTTCTACTATAATGCAAAGAGACCTTCATGGGTGGACCCAGCAGCAGTTGCGCCTCCATTTTGATTGTTAAGCTTCAGGTACTTCCTCGAAAATATAATCGTAGAGAGCGCAAGCTTATATAAAATGTAGGAAGGAGGAGCCTACATGTGTCCTAGTGTCAATTTTACATCTGTTAGTTACACACTTACACTAATTACATGTATGTCTGTATTGATTCAATATTTAATTTGTGATGGTCTTTGAACTATTGCACTGATTGTTAGCTGTTTACACTGGTTACATGTAGTGTTTTCACAGATATGAAATTGGTGTTGGGAGACTTATAGGCGCCCCATTTGGCTTTTTTCTAGATGTTAACTTACTATTTAAGATTTACATCAGACTTTTGTGATTAATATGATAAGAAATTTTCTACTCGTTTCCAGTTATTTACTTTTGAATATTAAAACAGCTATTAGCTATATGTGACATTGGCAAGACTTTGATGCTTATATCGCATTGGTACTTTGGTAGCAGTTTTGATGCTTCATTAGTATTTGAAATATTGCTTCTCTTTATTGAAAAGTGAATTTTAAGTTAACATCCGGGTAAATTACACTAAACCCACAAGAACTTTTAACATTTTGCAGTATGCCCTCAAAAACTTCTAAAATCGCACTAACTCCTCAATAACTATTGGGATTGCCAAAAAAACCTAGTAAGTCTCTGTTTTTTGTAGATAACCCCCCGATGACAGCATAAGTCCACATTTAGGATCGACAATGTGTCGCCAATGCTAAATGTCGACTTACGCCGTCATGGGGGGTTATCTGCGAAACACGGAGAGAGTTTTCTGCAATTCCAATAGTTATTGGGATTTAGTGCAATTTTAGAAGTTGTTGGGGGTTTACTGAAAACGCTAAAAGTTCTTGAGGGTTTAGTGTAAGTTACCCCTAACAAATGCTGCCAGCCATCAAAGATCGTAAACCACCATTGTGTTAAACATGCTTTCAGCTGGCTTGCTAAATTCAAAAAAATATATAAAACATTCCATAACAGTGAGGGAAGTGGGAAAGTAGCATAAGTATCTTTTCTTTGATTTTTGTTTTAGAAGTTTGAGGTCCTGAATCAAACATCATTTGTGTAATCGTATTACAGGTTAGTTCCCAAGATTCATTTTGTAATCTGCTGAGCGAGATTAATTCAGGTGAGAAGCTGTTCGTGTAATTCCTTTTTTCCTTCATTTTCTCACTCTTGTATCCTAGTATTCTTGCATTTTCTCTACAGGTTCCATACAGGCTTAATGGCTTTGCAGTTGCCATTATGGAGCTACCGTAGACTTTCTCATAAGCGGGCTGGATCTATTATGCGCTGGGACGATACTTTGGAGCGCTTGAAGTGGATACCGATGAATATACACCCTCTAAGTAGCCCAAACTACTCATATGAGTTTCTGTAAATAAAAAACTGGCCAACTTAGAGTTATTCTCCCAACTTCGATGTTTGGGTGCTGTGTAAGGAGCCATATGAGCACTGTGTCCATGGATAGCTGCTTGTTTCTCTCTCGTCTGCTGATACTCATTTTTCTACTCCCGGGTGTATTGTCGACCTTTTATGCCAAGGGGTTCTTTGTTTGCGCATAATTCAAATTGCAATACAAAGGACTGTTGCAAGTAACCTCAATAGCCCCAAAATTGTCGCTATATTTGTTCGGTTGTGACATTGTGTTTGTCAGAAGATTAATTGAGAGGAAAGTTTTTACCCCTTGTAAGTTGGGGAGACCATTGAATTTGCAACTTAAACCCCTCTATGTTGATTGTAACTGTGGTTATCATAGATATGATTGTAGGAAGAAAAAAGAAGCAAGCTTCGCAGCCAACTGAAGATAATTCTGGTGTATGTAACCGCATTTGGCAGCTAGAAATACTATTCCAAGAACTCCATCTTGTATGCCAAATCTCACCCGTCCGTATACCAATTAACGGTCGAGATGACATAAGATCCGAATCCATTAAACCCTCCACCATCGAAATCTCCTTTCTCTTTCCTAAACCCCCAAAATCAGCCGGGAGAAATGTGGAGATCCAAAGCTCGCTCTCTCCTCCTCAGATCTCTCCACTCTCACACCCGTTCCCAATCTCAGGCACCTCGCAAAACCCTAGCGCTAAGCCCAATCCCCCGCCCCCATCTCCTCCCCTCTCGTCTCATCCGAAACCCTAGCTTCTTCTCCTCTCAGCACGACGCCTCAAGCCCTAGCGACGAAGCCCCCGATCCCGGAGAGGCCTCATCCTGGACTCCCGAAGAACCCGAGGGTTCCAATGGGACACCGCCTTGGGATTTGGAAGATCACGATGATAAAGGCGCCGCCTTTGGAGAAATTACCCAAGAACCGGCCGATTCTTCTCCGCTGGAAGTAGAAGGAGATGGAGATGGAGCTCAGGTTGCGACTGCTGAGATCTCTCCCGAGTTGATCAAGAGCGTTGTTTCTATTCTAAAGGGTGGTGAAGAAGAGGCGATTGAATCGAGCTTGGATAAGTTGGAGCCGACTTTGAGCGAGGAATTTGTGGTTAAAGTGATCGAGGCTTCGGATGGAGTCGGCGGCAAGAATTTGATTGGATTCTATAAACGGGCTTTAGAGATGGAGGAATCTGTGAAGACTTCGAGGGCCATGGAGCTTCTTGTTCTTTCTGTGAAGAGTTCACCTGAGCTTGGTAAGAAGGAAGCTTACATGTTGTGGGATTTGGTTAAGGAGCTGGGCAAGGAGATTGGGGTTTTGAGTACTGAGATGTTGAATGAGCTGATATCGATTTTTTGGCAATTGGGTAAGGCTAAGGCTGGTTTTGAGGTCTTTAACAAGTTTAATGAGTTTGGTTGTAGTCATGATGCGGATAGTTATTACTACACCATCCAAGCTCTTGGCAAGAGATCGATGTTTGACAGTGCATGGTCTGTTTGTGAGAAAATGCTTAGTTGTGGAAACCTACCCAACAGAGAGAAGATCGGAGAGATTATCACCTTCTTTTGCAAAGGAAAGAAGGCGAAAGAGGCCCATTTGGTCTATTTAATGGCAAAGGAGAAGAATCTATCTCCTCCAAGGTCTAGCTTGGATTTCTTAATCTGTGGACTGGCTCGAAACGATGGAACTGTTTCTTTAGCATTCGAGTTACTCGAAGACTATCCAAAGGGGTCATTTAAGTATGCAAATAAGACTTATGGTGCTGTTGTTAAATCATTGTGTAGGGTTAAGAAAACCCTGGAGGCAAAAAGTTTGCTACTGAAAATGGTTGAATCAGGCCCGGCACCGGGGAATGCTTCTTTCAACTATGTTATTAATGCACTCTCTAAAGGAGGTGAGTTGGAGGATGCATTAGCTTTGATGAAAGTGATGGAGAGCAGAGGACTAAGGCCGGATGTTTATACGTATACTGTGGTTATGAGTGGATATGCAAAGGGGGGTTTGATGGATGAGGCATATAGGATATTCTGTGAAGCCAAGAAAAGGCATGGTAAGCTGAGCCCTGCTACTTACCATGTTCTTACTCGGGGATATTGTAAAATGGAGGAGTTTGACAAGGCACTTGAAATTATGAAAGAGATGAAGGTAAATGGAGTACAACCGAATGCTGATGAGTATAATAAAATGATACAGTCATTGTGCCTCAAGGCTTTGGATTGGCGTTCAGCGGAGAATCTCTTGGAGGAGATGAAAGAGAGTGGGATGTATCTTAAGGGGGCTACCCGTAGTCTTGTGGCAGCGGTGAGGGAAATAGAAGAGGAGGAAACACAGCCAGAGGAAGTTAGTATTGAAGCTTAATTTCTTGCTCAGGATGTTGAAGTTGAACTTTTGCGTCAATAATTTTTCTTCCCCTCTTTCAGATTGTGCTGGGGGATTACTCGTGCAAGTGAGTTATATACACCCCTCGTTGTCTAGTTATCTTCCCAGCTGAAAGAAGCAACTTTTTTGGTGTTTATTACAATTCATCATTTTCTTAGTTTAATGTAGCAATTTTTTGTTTTCTTTCTATCAGATTATGCTTAGGTTTTCTTATGCATGATTGTTGTTGTTTTACTTTCTATGTATGAATGGTGTCTTTTCGCTAACTAATCTGCTTCGTGATTATACTGTGTCCTCTTTATATATCTCCATTTGTTGATTTTATCATTTTGTCAAAGCAGGCTATTCTTTTAGTTAAATTCATTCTTCTTATGGATAATGTTGACTTTTATGTATTGTTTGGACAAGTGATCGGTATGTTGTTCACATCTGTTACTTTTTGTGACATACTTCAGAAAAAGTAGTATGTGCTTATTTATCCAGTAGACAGAAGGACTGCTAAGTACTACCTAGCAAGGTTTTAAATATCGGTTATCGGGGATTTATTGGACGGTCAAAATCCTTATCGGATAGCGGAAATCGGGGATATATCGGGGATAAGTAGTATTTATCGGAGTGATATACTGGATGATGTGTATAATATAATATAACAATTAAAAAATATAATCTAATCATGCTTAATGAAATATAAACATACCAAAATATAAATCATCATGTTTAGAATCACTAACAAATTGTAGAAAGCGAAACTTGCATCATAGCCTTGAAAAAATATAATGTTAGTCAAAATGGGCTGATAATCCCGATAATTTCGATAAAAATTCTTATTTATCGGCCGATAAGTGCCGATAACGCCGATAAATCGCCGATAAACCTACAAAAACGATAACCGATTAAAAATCCAATTTATCCTAGCGGAGAGCTCCCAAATCCGATAACTCGGCCGATAATATCGATTATCGGCCGATATTTAAAACAGTGCTACCTAGTGACACCAGAAGGAAAATTAATCAGTAGATAAATATCAGTAATTTAAAATTTGTTGTCTACTTTGCTTCTTCCTTTTTTTTGTCGTCGTCGTCTACTGTTTTAAACATTTTTCCTGTGAAGTATAAAATAAATATTTAATATTGCTTAAGATTGGATAAGGTCTCAAATGTCTATTCCACAATATTCGGTATTTCAAAATTTCCCCCACTTATTTCTGTGTGTCATCTTAACAACCAAGTCACATAATCATATCTCAGATCATTAGCCTATTCATCAGTTGTTAACATTGTAAGAGTGACTTGACATCCCTATTATGTATTCTTCTTAAATGTCCATAAGAGGGGAAAAAACCTACCAAAAAGTTCATCTTCTCCCTCCTTAAAATAAGCCAAAGGTTCCTCTTTCTTTCACTCGCTGTCTACAAGATCCAAATCTGGTCCACAGAGTGAGATGAGGGCTAGATTGACGGTTGATATATATGGGTTTTTTTGAAGCATTAATAATAATAGTTGAGCCATGTGAAGGACTTGCGAGATTTATTTTATGTTAGATCCCCTTGCATAATGACTTTCTTTTATATGGTTGAAATTTTGCTTTTGTTTCCTAGTTCGTGTGCAGTGCTGCTGCTGTATGTTTTCTTTTGAATAATGTGTTCTCTTTTGAATAATGTGTTCTCTACGGCTTTCATCTTTTGCTAGTTGATTTTATGATGTATATTCAGAATTTGCATCTGCTTTCTGGACAAAAAACTTGCTGGTTACATCTGAAGCAGTGGGCCTGTTGAAAAGCCAAACACAACACAAGAATTGTGGAGAATTTTATTGTTATGTATTGAAGTCTGATTTTTCCTTTTATTTTAATTTCTTACTAACCCAGGAATATCTTTTCATTAGTATCAAAGTTGCTTTTCCTTTTGTAACTTAGGTTTCTTCCAAGAGTTAATTTTTTCTGTGCCTAACCCACTTCAAGCCTGCAATTATTTTTACTTTATTATTATATTGTACTGGTATTAGTTATAAGTCAGCTGATTAGTTATGCCAATGATTTTGCTAAACTGTTATGAACCCATATGGTCGAGTAAATACATTGAGCTCCAACTAGGATCACACTGATTTCCATAACCTTTTTAGCTGCTTGTGATGTCTCCGATCTTAATGTAATTTTACATGATCTGCACAATTGTTGCTACCCTCACTTTGCACTGTATTTAGAAACCAGGGAAGACAACAAACACTAGAGCACAACCCACTGAATTGTAATAAAATAAATCTTGTGTTGGCATACCTACTTGTAAGCAATGGTTGCATTGAGGCTCCTCTTTATGAAATTAACATGGCATAGAATAACCGCACTGTTGGCTGCACCTTTTATATTAACTGTATGTTCTATTTCCAGAGCAGCAGGCTGAGAAAATCAACTAATGTAGATTCTAGAAAATCAATTCTCAATCTTGGTTGCAGAACCATGAATAGGCCTTTTCAGCATTAAGGGATAATAATCCTTGCATTATTATTTTATTTGTTTGCCAATGGTTTATGAGATTAAAGAGAAGCAATCATCCTCTGTTTCAATGGATATAGGACACGGGTAAATGTATGTGTATGTGTCACGGGTACTTCTCAATTTTAGAATTATATTTACCTCACAATCTTTTCATGCCTGCTTATAAAAGTTTTTCTGGTGTTACTAAAAAAATTAATTTTTATCCAGTGTTCATCTATATTGTTTCTATCACACTCCACATTTCTTATTGTAGCGTTCCTGCTAAGTCTGCCGTAATTTTGGGTCCCTTGTGAACAAATGCTGCAACGTGTAGGTGTTCCTTACTCGTGTCATGGTTTTGTGTTTCTGTTTGACAGTCGTCACTCCTTGTGAATTGTTTTGTTGAATTGTCAAGGTATTTGCGGTCTTCTATAGTTCTATCCTATTTCACGTAGTTTGATTGTGAAGCTTTCAGTATCATCTTATGTACTGCTTATTTATTTCCAATGCTAGTATTCACAATGTATGATGCCTTGCAATGCAATCATTTGGAAGCCAGATGAAAGTTGACACAAAATAGTAAGATTTGAGACTTGAAAGGAAGAAAGTTAGTACTACATTACTACTAATATCCTTCTATATCAGTTGTTATTGAATTAGTAAGCTTATCCAAGATATTATTGTATTCCTATGTCTTAAAGTCCCTTCCATCATACAAAAAAACTCAGAAGTTGTGGTGAAAGTTGAGAGTTATAATCATGTAGTTGAACATGACCTCTCAATTTAAGCATTCTTTTTGTTGGTCTTGTAAGTTATGTAGTTTAAATGTGTTTTGAAATACCTAGAATGGTGGAAATAATTTGAATCTGGATTGCTGTGATATCATCTTAAAGTCAAGCCTATGTGTCTGGTAATCCAAATGACAATGTTTATGTTAACGAAGTGGGATTGCAGTAAGTCCCTTTCAGAGGTTATAGATTCGTGATCCAACGGTAATGCTAATGTCCAGTCCTTTTTAGCACTTTGGATTTTGACTGATTTATACAAAAGAAAATTGTTTCTTGTTGATATGCTGTGACTGAATCCTCCTTTGACATAGGAGCTGTTATTGTTGGAAATTTACAGGGTAAACTCCGCTTCGCCAGATGCTTATGTACAAAGTGAAAAACACGCAATGGTTGTTAATATCATCCTCGTAATTCTGGGAAATTGTAGACTGTATGAAGAGGTGAACTTATTTTATCTTAAATTATTATTACATTGGCAACCATGTGTTACTACTACATTTGCATTCTGGACAGCAATGTATCTGGTCAATCTATATTTCATGTGCATGTTCGTATTAGTATGGGATATTCTTTCATGTGCATGTGCATGTGCTTGTGAGTTGTTCCTTGGAGGGATGTATATGAGAAGGAACCCCCTTGCTGTGTAGAGCACATGCTATCAGTGTTCGTCCTTGTTTCTGTGGAAATTACAAGATCTTCTTACAACGTACTACTGCTGAGAATGCTGAGAACCAGGGGGGATGATAAATATCCCTTTAATTAAAAGATTATTATTTGTTTATAGCCAGCTGATCTAGCTCCAAATCTTTGAAGCATTTTTTATTTCTGCTTGCAGACAAATCTTGAGTCAAAAAGCCATGAAGACGTGATATATTACCAAGAAAAGCTGGAAAGGGGAAGGAGGCAAACGACAGGGTCACTCCATTTTGGGGATTGATGGAGGACAAGGAGCAAAGGGTGAGGGCCCTTCTATATGACGGCCATGTATTGGCTGGCGTTTTGGTAATAAAAAAAGAGAGATGCGATTGTAGGCTGATTTGGTAGAACCTATTAAGTGATTGATTCTCCTATTAATGTTCTACTATTGTGCATTTCGGGCAAAATACGGCTCTTTATTTTTTTGACATTTTATTTTGAATTTACTTCTCTTTTAGTTTTAATATATTTAATTTAATTATTGTATGCTTAAAATTAGATATCACTTAATACTTAGAGCTAGTTTGGTTCACTCTAAATTATTGGAAACAATGTGTTTTTTAAGGATTTGGAACAAAAAAAAGTAGGTTTTTTGCCATTTTAGGATTCTAAAAGTTGGGTTTGTTTGAATTTTTTTTCAAGAAAAGGTTTATTAAAAAGCCTCTAAGCAGTGACTATTTTTGGACAGCTTATTTCCTATCTTTTGGTTAGGAAATAGGCTAGAAAGTTGACAACCCGCTGACAACTCATTATTTCTTTTCACAACTCTTCTTATTATTTGGAAATGAAACAAACTTGAGTTTTGAATATGCTTTCCTATTCTTAACTTTATCATTACATATCAAACACAAATTTTGAATTTCTTAGATATCCTAAAATTTTTTAAAATGAAATCCATTTCCATAATTTTATTGAAATGAACCAAACAACCCCTTAAAAAAGGATTAAGTTTTAATACATTTAATTTAAAAATAATATCTACTCCTCTTATCTAAAGAATGATTTTAGTTTTAATACATTTGATTTGTTTTATTGTTTATAATACAGTAAGATACTATAACATAAATAGTAACTTCACATATAGGGGTAGGGGTGAGCAAAAACCGAAAAAAACCGGTTCAACCGAAAAAACCGTCCAAAAAAACAGACCGGTTAACCGAACCGAATTAAATGGATGAGAAGAAGTCTCTAAACCATCCGAATCGAATTAAATCGGTTTGGATCCGGTTTGAACCCCTAAACCGCCCAAAAAAAATCGACCCGAATTCTGTTGGGCGGTTTAGAGACTAAACTTATACCTCAAAACTTTTTCTGTTATCATCCAATAGATTCAAACGGCGCAAGGAGCAATTTCAAGCAATGAGTACAACAATATCACAGAAAAATATCCTTGAGAACTAAGTAAAGATTCAAATCAATTCAGACAATTTGTTATGCACATGATGCACTTACAAAAGATGCATAAGCTACATTATATGAACAATATCATACAAAACATCACTCCCCCGTGTAATTAAATAAACTTAAACTTTAGTTAAAAATTTTCGCAGAATAGATCTTGAGAATTACATAAGATTCAAATCAATCACAAAATGTGTTATGTACATGATACTTACAAGAGATAAGCATGATGTATTATATGGACAACATCTTTAAAACATCAGTTCTCTGCGTAATTATATCAACTCAAAACTTTATTCTAAAGATGATAACCAGTCTAATAAAGCTTTGTTGGCGAGCTCATGAACCTCATCATGAGGACAATGCCCAGCTTGCAAATTCACAACAGAAGTCTTTGGATAGAACTCTTTGCAAATTCAAAACTGAAACCGAACCGAACCGAACCGAATTTCGGTTGGGCTGAATATTCGAATGAAGGGAAAAAAATCTGGATATGGATGAGAGTTTTGAGAATCCGAAAAATTCGGATTGGATGCGGATTGGGCATAAAACCGAACCGAATCGAATATGCCCAGCCCTATATAGGGGGGTATATTTGGTTTACTGTTTATGCTACAATAAACACTACATTATGAACAATACTTCGATTTTTGTTATAATATTTAACGTATAATTTACTGTAGTATAAACAGTAATTTTTTAGATTCTCCAAGTATATAGTAGCAGATAATGTATCTTGAATGGCTCTTATAAACAACTTGGCTGCTTTGTACTTGTAGGGTCCTTTTCTTTAAAACCCCAAAGAAAAATAGATGTATTAAACATAATAACTTTCTTGTTATGCATTAATATGAAGATAGACAATTCTTGAAGCTTGGACCACTTGGCTGCTTTGTACTTGCAGGGTCCTTTTCTTTAAAACCCCAAAGAAAAATAGATGTATTAAACATAATTAATACTTTCTTGTTATGCATTAATATGAAGATAGACAATTCTTGAAGCTTGGACCATCAATTGTCTAGTCGTTCAGATCCAGATAATTTATTTATTGTGAATAGAGTTGGGCGTCGGCCGGGTTGACTCGCGGGCTGATCCGACCTAGCTCGTCGTGGGTCACGATCTAGCTTGGTCTATAGTAGGCCGAGCCCGATCTGACTCATGATATATGTAGGTCACGGACCGGGTTGGGTCCAGCTCTAGACCCGAAACTAGAGAAATAGGTCTGAACCACCTTGACCCAACCCACCATAGAACTGGCCTGATCTAACCTGGGCTAACCTGACCCGACCCATAATTTTAATTATTAGTTTTTAGTATTTAGTTAACATTTTTTTCTCTTATATTTGTAATTTGACTTTAAACTTTCCGTGAACGTAGGTCTTTCTTCAAAGTCCGAACCACATATATTTTTGTGTTTGTGATTTTGTGTGTGTGATGTTTATCTCTTTACAATGTGTGTGTATGTATCATTTTAAATAAAGAGTAAAATAGAAAAAATAATTTGATAGATACTAATACAAAGCTAATATAGTTTAGCAATTAAAAATTAAAAATATGTTAAAATACTCATGAACCATCCCACGACTCGTGAGTCATCCCACGACTCGTGAGTCGTGGGCTGGACCCCATCTGGCATGTCCCTAGACGGGTCGTGGGCCGTGTCGGATCCAATCTATAATTCGGAATTAGAGAAATATGCCTGATCCGCTATGACCGAGCGGGCCTGTGTTAGACTCGGCCCAACGTTGAACCCGGTGGGCTGGATCACGGGCCTGAACCACCCAGCCCACGCCCACCCCTAATTGTGAAGTATAATTTTTCTAAGTAAATTGCACTTAAATGACCTAAAGTAATGGTATTTTCACTATATGACCTCACTTGTAAAACGTATCAAATGACTCATAGTTTTAAAAAATTTCACCTAAATGATTTGGAGAATAGAACATTAAATTTCTGTTAGAATATGTTGGGGATATTCCCCTATGAGAGGTCATGTGACACAATGAGTTTATTTAATACCCTTTATATGTCATTTAATTATATCCTACTGTCCTCTTATTTATATGGAAAATGCCATTTGGCACGCAAGATGGGCGCGCAACCCATCTCACGTGCCACAACAGGAATGTTATAATCATCATCTTATTGAAAATGAAAATGCTATTTGTCACGCGAGATGGGCTGTGTGCCCACCCGGCATGACAAATAGCAAAACCCTATTGAAAACTAGACCTAAAGGCTAAAACTAACAAATCTACATTGCCTCTCCTCAAACCAATATAGGGAGTCGTGAAGTCAAGCTCACGAGCTTCAAGTTCAGCTTCAAGCACTGCGAGAGTTGACGAGGAGATCGAATTATTAACATCAAATCCCGAGAATCAAGCAAAGATTGAATTTTTTACAGTAAACCCAAAGCGAAATGAGTGCTGCTACAGTGACCCAAAAATAGAGGACCCTGAGTGGGACAGGTGAGGTGTCGCCTCCCTGTCCCATGATGCACTGTTCATGAACAGTGCATCACGGGACAGGGAGGCGCTCCCTGTCCCATGATGCACTGTTCATGAACAGTGCATCACGGGACAGGGAGGCGACACCTCACCTGTCCCACTCAGGGTCCCCTATTTTTGGGTTCCTGAGGCATTTTTCAAGTGAAATAGATCTCCTCCATCCATTTCAAAAAACCATAATCAACAACAATGGGGCCCACAATCAAACACATTCATATAAAAACCCACATTCAACTACCCAGAATCCACAATGCAACTAATTAATCTGCAAAATTCCAACATGCAGTCGAGCAGAAAACAGTGAGAGGGAGTAATTACCTTGCATGTGACGATTTCCACTTCCCCCACTCCCCTCTCTAGACTGCGGTAATTTGGAGAAGTTGGAGGAATTGGGGGTTTTCTTTTCACCATTGTTAAGTGTTTTAGTGAGGGTGGGTTAAAAAATTAATAGGGGTACTTTCAGGGCCGGTTCTGAGATTTTAGGGGCCCTGTGCGAAAAGTAAACACATTTTCATTCTCATACTCATTCAAGCACAAATAATTAATATTATCATTTTCAATTGAATTTTTAACTAAATCTTGTGTTTCTCTAACAATAAATTTATCAAGCGATCCACTTGAGTTTGGATAAATTGTTCAATTTTTTTTTTCTTACATTTATCATATCCAGAAGGATATTTTCTTGGAGGCATTTCTATAATAAAGTATTACTGATTACAATCAAATTGAAAGAAGTCAAGATTCGGAACAATACAACCTGATGAACAGCTCCGGCTGAGAATCGACCTTGCTCTTATCCGTCAAGTAACGAATCTTATCCAAAGCCTTTACAACAACAACTGAACAAAAAAAATCAAACAAAAGCATCAAATGAACAGCTCCTCAAACAACAAAAACCCTAAGTAATCCCCAAAAATAGACCCAAATCTTACATCTTAATCTGAGATTCTGATTCCGAGGAATTGCTGGAGACTAGAGTTGACTATGGAGCCTGGCGAGCTCGACAGCGGCCAGCGGGGGCAGCGACGGCGAGCTCGGAGCTCCGATTCGAGCTCAGCGGGGGCGGCTACGGCGAATCCCGAGGTCTGCAGAATTTCGGGGCCTCCGGCCGACGGGCGGACGCTGACTGGCGACTGCGGTGCGGAGCAGCGGAGGACTGGAGTCTGGAGGAGAGAGCCCAGAGAGGAGGGGATGAGAGGTGCGGGCCAGATCTGATTTGTGAAGATTGGTTGTTTTTGAAGGAGGATTTTGATATGGACGGTTGAGATTAAGGGGTTTGTGAAATGTAGGGTCCATATTTGCTCTCCCTAATTATATATATATATATATATATATATATTATATTATATATATAATATATATATATATTATATATATATATATTATATATATATAATTTGGGCCCCCAGAAATTCGGGGCCCTGTGCGGGCGAATAGGCTGCACTCCTCCAGAGCCGGCTCTGGGTACTTTGTTCTAAACTCCCTAATTTTCAACG